TTTGATTTATTATATCCTTCATTTCAAGGGTTTCTGTTTTTTTCAGGGTCTCTATTTCTCTCTTAAAGTAATAATTATCTACCTGTATTTGCTCTCTTATCTCATTGTTGGAGCAATCAATTTTTGCCTGTATTTGCTAATTTAGGTCATTTAATTCAGAGATCATTTAATTATGAACCTTCTGAACTCATTCTCTGACATTTCATCAACTTTGCTGTCCATGGGTTCTGTTATTATGGTGTCCTGGTTTGTTTGGGGCACTTTCCTCCCTTGTTTTTTTCATGTTGTCTATGTGTCTTCCTTTCTTACAGTGTGGATCTAAGATATTACAGTTTCTTCCCTATGTTTTTATAATATCTATGCAGGTTGTCTCTACCCCACCTTGATGTTGGGCTTCTAGACTCTGCTGGTTTCCCTCAATGGATGCTAATGCATCCTGTATCTGGGAATTGGGGAAGTTGAAGTGGGTGGATCTAGGCCACTGGGCTTGACCTCCCTTAGTAGTCTGCTGGTCAGAAGAGGCTGTCTTGTGCCAAAGTATAGGCTCTGGTGATGTCTGCCCCACTGAGGAAGGGGTGAACTGGGCCTCCTGAGAGCCTGGATTCCATGTGGAGTGTGGTTTTCATGTGGGCTGGTGTTGGCTGTCTGGGCTGGCTCTTGGCTCCCCCAGTAGTCCACTTGTCAGAAGGGTTGGCCTGCACCAGAGGCTAGGCCCTGGGGAGTGTCTGCCCCTCCAGAAAAGGGACCAAGTGTGCTGTGCACCTGGGCTCTGCAGAAGTCCGTGTGGGTGAATCTGGGCAACTAGGCTTGGCATCCCTTGGTAGTCTGCTGGTCAGAAGGGGCCATCCCGCACCAAAGACTGGGCTCTGACAGTGTCTGCCCCACTGGGGGAGGAGTGTACAAGGCCTACAGAGAGCCTGGAACTCAGAAGGGCTAGTGTGGTGGTCTCATTCAGAATTATTATTGAAAGGATTTTACAAGTGCCTATCATTTTTTTCTGGTCAGTTTGAATAATCTATGGTCATGTCTTTCTCCCTTATTCATCTCGAAGCATTGACAATTTACTGAATTGATAATTTTAATTATTTCCTCTTTCTCACTTGTTTATCTCTCTTCTAGTGAGATTTATTCTTTCCTATGCTGTCATGGCTAGGTTGTCTTGCTTCCTACTCTGTGTGTAGGATTGCTTCGTTATCTTCTACAGTGCAGGATCAGTGGTTCAAAATTCCATTCACTGATGCTTATCTTCAAAAGACTTATTTTCATTTTATTATTAAGGATAAATTTTCTAAACATAGTCATGTAGGTGGCAGCTATTTTCTCTCAAGTTCTCAAGTACATCATTCATGCCCCCATGGCTGTTAGTGTTTCTGCTTATAAATCTGTTATGTTAGGATCTTCTTAGTAAGCACCCTTCTCTTAATGATGTGCCTTGGGGTGTAGGTGTCCTGTAGAGTTGAGATTAATTCAAAGTGGACACTGAGATTAATTCAAAGTGGTTGTTTCTCTGTGGCTTCTTGGGCTGGTAATAATGGATTTTGAAACTCCAGGTATTATGTCAGAGCATAATATTTTTCTCTATATTTCTCATACAAATGGGGTCCTTCTGGAAGTTCATGCATGATGTTATAGACAGCACAGTGTGTAGGGCATTCTTTCTGTAGCTATTTATCCAGTATTATTTTTAGTGTTTGGTCTCAGAGGATATGGCAGCAACCTGCACTGAGGTTCTTCAAGGCATTTTTTCCACAATATTTGAATTATTTTGCCCATGTTTTCTTAACCTGGAGATTGTCCAAGAGCAGGAGTTATACTTACTTGTGGCAGCCTCATCTCTCTGCTGTGGATTTCTCTCTTCCCTATTAATTAATTTGAAATACCCACAAACACTTCATCAGGACTAGGTCATGGCTTCAGTAAGGTGTAACTTCTCCAGATTGGCTAGAGTTATATCTCAGTGGCAAAGCACACACCCAATATGTTTGAAGTTCTCTGCTTGATCACCAACATAACTCAGCAAAAAGAAAACAAGAGCAGTAACCACAACATAACAATAAACTGACTGGACATGTTAGCACATGCCAATAATCTCAGCCATTCAGGAGGCTCAAGCAGGAGGATTGTGAGTTGAAAGCTATCCTCAGCAACTTAGCAAGGTTCTAAGCAACTCAATGAGACATGTCTCAAAATTCAAAAAAGAAGCCTAAACATGTCTGTAATCCTTGTGGCTTAGGGGACTGAGACAGGAGGATTGCAAGTTCAAAGCTAGCCTCAGCAACTTAACAAGGTGCTAAGCAACTCAGTGAGACCCTGTCTCTAAATACAAAATAGGGCTGGGGATTTGGTTCAGTGGTTCAGTGCCTCTGAGTTTAATCCTCTGTACCAAACCACCCCCCCCCAAATAAAAATTTTAAAAAATGACTGGGAATGTGTATCAGTGGTTAAGTTCCCATGAGTTCAATTCAGAGTATCAAATAAAATAAACAAATGAACTAGCTATAGAAATACAGTAATAACCAAATGCACTTAACAACAACTAAAACAGCTGTAACAATTGATAAGGGGAAGAAGAAATATAGAATTAAAAAGAAAGTCAAAAATTAGTGAAAGGAAAATTAATTTAAAAATACTGAAGTTGTAAAATAAAAGAGAAGGAAGAAGGGGAGTTAAAAAAGGAAGAAAAATATTTGTAACTAAAAAAGGGGGAAACATTAACTAGGTAGGTGGCACTCACCTGTAATCCTATGGGCTCTGGAGGCTGATGCAGGAGGATTACAAGTACAATGCCAGTTTGAGCAGCTTAGAGAGAACATGTCTCATAAATAAATAGGTAAATACAAAAATTTTAAAAGACTGGGGATGTAGCTCAGTGGTTAAGTGCCTCGGTTCAATCACCAGTACAATAAAGAGAAACAGAGGGTCAGTGAGAAAGAGGAAGAGAGAAAAAATCCATTTGAAGAATTAAAAACAAATTAATTAATAGTAGTAAAGAAAATACAATAAAGCATAAAGAAAAATATGTCAAAAATTCTTCCCAGCTAAAATATCTGCATTGAAGATACCTTTTCCACATCATCTAACATTCGAATCCACCAGGTATGTGGGAGTCAGTAAACAGCAAAAGAAGACCAGATGCAGTTCCTCTCTCTTCCCACAAAACATGTTGGGATTGAGGGCAATAGATTGGCTATACTGTGCTCCTCATTTCCTGTCAAGGAGGTTAAAGGAGGGTTGACAAGACAGGCCATAATATCCCTGCAGGGGTTTGACTGGAAACCTGAAGGCATGTCAAATATCACGTCAGCTTTTCCTTCAGTGGTCTGCAGACCCAACAGGTAGTCACACACTTGCCCGAGAGGCCTCTAGAAGGTGACCATTGAGGTGTGCCAAGGGTCCTAGCCATGGTGAATCCCTGGAAAGGCTGTGGAAAATAGTGTAATCCCTGAAATAGGCAACATGGCAATGCCATGAATTGCCAGACGTTGTCTCTGAGCTCTGACACCTGGTCCCTATGTGCAACCACATGTGCCTGGAATCGTTCTTCTTTACATAGTGTTGGACCATTTACAATGAGACCTCCATCCCTCCCCTACAATTTGATGCTCTTAGCAGGTTTGTGACAGGCACTCTTCCTATCCGAGACTGTAGAACACTAACTTACACTGAATCACTGTGGCAGGGTGGCCCAGGGGCCTAAAATTGTGATTACTTCACATTGTCTAAACCCCAGAGGACTTTAGTCCCTAATAATTGCCATTTCTTAAGATAGTTCCTGGTTATATCACTTGGAGAGCTTGCTGAGCAATGTGATGAATTTTTCTCTAAAGTTTGCTTGTTGTACAAGAGTACTCCCTCTCAGAGAAATGCCCCAAGTTTGATCAAAAGCTTGTAAGAACCATTCTCCCACAGGTAAGATGCCAACTGGGTTGTCTGCACTCTCCAATTTTCATTATGCTTGCAGATTGCCTCCCTCACTCAGGTGGCTGGAGATGAGGTTGTAAACTGCTTTGTACATTTCTCGGGGTTGCACTTCTTCTTTTCCCTGTTGTTTAGAGTTATCAAACACAGTTTGATAAATAGTTCTTTGTAGTTCCTCTATTTCTCTCCTTAAAGTAAAATTATCCCTTTGTGCCCTAACATTTTTAACTCACAGGGTCACAACAAAGTTACTTCTTTTCTGCTATTTACTTCTTTTTTTTTTAAATAATAACAACTCCTGAAATAAGAATTTGGGGAAAAAAGTAACATTCTATGATACTTAGTGAAGTTTAGTGATGTGGATATCTGAAATCATTTTTGTGGGGAACTTGCTTAGTCTACCTAAAGAGAGTCAAGTTTTGATATTACATATCCAATCTGAATTCTGAAACCTAGAATCATTAGTTAAATATTTTGAGGTAAACCATGGTCCATTCATTTTTCAGTCTTAATGACCATATGATTATTATTTCTCCTGGATTCATGGCTGTCACCTGATGTTTCTGATGATCTCATCCCAGTTCCATACTCTATCCCCTGTGCTCTGGTCCTCCCACATCTCAGGCCATTGGCACTCAAGTGTGTGTGCTCTATAAGAACTAATCCTATGCTGGCCAATTGACTTTTAGAAATCATTCAGAAAAAGACACTTTTAAGTAATCAAGGTAGGAAACCTGACATTCTAGAATTGTGTTATCAGATCCAGTGAAGATCTCTGCAAATAGTAAGTTTAACTCTGATAGAAACTACCTCATAACTTCTACCTGAGACATCTAACTAGACTATGATGTGCTTAATCTCATTTTTTGTTTTTTAAACAATTAATTCTCCTACTTATTTGGTAGGAATTGAAACTTAGCTGCTGCCTTGCTATAAAAAACTCCATGTCTTACACAGTAACCTCTGCAATCTGAATGTAGGTTCTGCCAACTGATTGGCTGGGGAAGGGAGTACCAGAGGACAAGAATACCCTTCTCCTTTTCTTTGTAAATTCAATTATTGACATGATTCTTTCTCCTCAGAGACTCCAAAGCTCCGCCTGGTGGACAGTGGCAGTCGCTGTGCAGGCAGAGTGGAGATTCTTCACCAACATTCTTGGGGCACTGTCTGTGACCACAGCTGGGACCTGAATGATGCTCACGTGGTGTGCAGACAAATGGGCTGTGGAGTGGCCCTCCATACTATACTTTTTTCACAATTTGGGAAGGGATCAGGGCCCATCTGGCTGGAGGACCTGAAGTGCACAGGAGAGGAGGACCAAGTGTGGAAGTGCCCTTCTCTAGGCTGGGGGCAACACGATTGCACACACAAGTGGGATGCAGGTGTCATCTGCTCAGGTATGGTCTGCACATTCTCCACTGCATAAGAGAATGGAAAATATCAAAAGTGTGTATGTGATTCTAGGGAAATAAGATACAGACAAGGCACCAAGGACTAAGAGGTCTCCATGGACCCTGGGTATCCAAAATAGCAGTGGGCAATGTGATTTAGTTATTTATTGTAAATCTCAAATATTGTCCTTTCCCTTCTTTGCAGTCATACTTAAAATGATAGGTTTTGTTTTTGTGTAATCATTTCACTTAAAATTATCTTCATAATTTTGTTTCTATTGATTTACCTATAAATTACCACACATATCTTTTTTCAAAAGGTAGACAAGAATGGGGCTTGCTTTTTTCATTTGAATTGAATGTTTATATATTACAAAGATTTATAAAAAGAGAGAGGGAGACACTGAAGAAGGAAGATTTGCCCTTTCTCAACCTCAGACAGCCCAGCATGAAGAGAAATGCATACTTTTGGGGGAATGGAAAGGGAATTAAGCCCAGACCTTACACTTGAAACTCAGTAGTATGCCTGCAACAGTTAAACCTGGTGCCTGACAGAGCCCAACAATACTGTCTCCATGCCAGTAACTTCACACTGAGACCCTGGAACTGTGTTTAGTTGGGCAGCAAAGAGACCCTCCACCACAACTATTCCAACCCCTAGCAGAAGAGAGGAAAGCAAGACTCTCTAAGGATCAGGGCACAGTGCTGGCATAGGACTTTGTCTTAGAGTTTAGTGCCAGAACAACAGTGATCATACACAGTATTGAGCAGGAATTAGAGGCCTCAAATGTAGCACAGAGATAACAGAACAAGACCTATGTGCTGGTGGGATAGACTAAAAAAGAGCCTGCTGCACCTATGGCTGGTTCTATGAATTTGGAGCCTTGAGTCCACCTCAGCTGTAGGCCACTCATAGCATAGAGGGCCTTGGTACCTCCCCACTTCTGTGATGTCTTAGCAGGCTGTGGCTTCAAGGTGTGATGTAGCATTGTACCATTGTTGGCCACAGGACTTCCTACCTCATTCCTCCTCAACCCCTGGAGGCACAATATGGAGAGGGTTTAGGCTCTGTGTGAAGATGAAAAGTTAGTTGGACAATTGTGACTGGAAGCCTCAGATTCTTATCTCTATAAATTATAGTACAGCTCTCAAAGATGAAAGATAGAGACTCTCAAGCATCAAGAGAAAAAAAAATAATAACATATAAGGATATCCTGATTCACCTGATGGCAGACTTCTCAAATGTAAATATATAAGTCACAAATGAGTGCCATGAGATTTTCATATAAATGAAAAAACCTGCCAATAAAGAATAATGAATCAGCAAATATATCCTTTAGAAAAAAAGGAGGTACAAAGACCTTATCAGACATCCTGCATCCCCCACACAAATTACCATATGACACAGTAATCCCAATGTTGAGCATTTTTCCAAAGGAAGTGAAATAACTATGTTAAAGAGACATCTGGACTCCCATGTTTATGGCAGCACTATTCATAGTAGCTAAGAAATAGAAATAATCTAAATGCCCATCATCTGATAAATGGATAAATAAGTGAAATACAATGGGATACTATTTAGGCATAAAAATGAATTAAATCCTTTCATTTGACATAACATGAATGAGTCAAGATATCATTAGATTAAGTGAAATAAGTCAGGCAAAGAAAGACAAGTATTTTATAATCTCACTGTATGTCAAATATGTAAGAGTTGACCTCATAGATGTTGAGAATAGAATTGTGGTTACCATAGACTACAGAGTATAGGGAATGGGAATGGAAGACAACAGATTGATCAATGAACAATGGGTTTTACTTAAATAGGAACAACAAGTTCTGGTGCACCGCAGCACAGTAGGATGACTATAGAAAACAATAATGAACTACATTTCAATAATTAGAAAAAAGCATATTGGAAGCTTTTACCAAAAAGAAATGAAAACTTTTTGAAGAGACAAAGAAATGCAATGCATACATACATTGGCACGTCAATTTACTTAATTAATATGTACACTATGTCAGTACATTTCAGTTAAACTACATTTACTTAGATGGAAATGAAGGAAAACATAAAGTGGCAAGATATGGGGAAAATTATATAGTTTATATCTAATGGAAACAATGATACAAGAAGAGTATATTGTCAGATAAATTTGATAAGAATGGGACAGGAAGACAAATACAATTTTCTGAAGAAGACAGAGGAAGCTTATAGTATGTGGGGAATGACCTTTAAAGGTTGATAAAGAGCACATAAGGATTACCTGGATTATCTCAGCAGTACTTAAGACCCTGGTATAGGAAGGGCAATCTGTGTACATTGTGTTAACACAGTATACTCCTCCTGCACAAAAGGAGGAAAATGATTTGCAAGAGTGACTCAAAGCTGAGGCATTGAAAAGGTCAAAATAGAGGAAGATAAGGTCCCTTGAATGACACTTTCATAAGAAACCCGAAACATGACCAGAGAAGCAATGTGTCTATGGAGCAAAAGATCAGAGATTTATATGGCTGCAATGTGTAATTTACTGGAGTGAGAATGACTCATATGAATCAATAGATTTCTGCAGATGCAGTTTTTCTTCCTTTTTCCACCCAGTGGCTCACAAACTTCAAATGGCTTAAAACTGCTTTTCTCCCGGCTGGATGTAAAGCTCTGCAAAGATAATGACATTATTTTCTTTACATATGCATACTCAGCACCTAGAAACACATCTGGAACATGACAAATTCTGAAAACATGCTACTGTGGTGAATAACAAAACAGGGAAGCAGACTCTCAATATTGTCTTTGTACACCTCTCTCCTATATCAGGACTTTCTCCCTAGAAAGTTCAGATTGTGTCTCCTTTGAAGACCTCTCTGCTGCATTTTTATCCTTTCCCCATCAGTGGCATTTCTACCCATACTGGGTAAATTCCATTTTGATGACTTACTTTGAAAAGAAAAAAATGAACATGTTATTTTTCCAGAGAAAGGATTGCTTCTTCAGGACATCAACCTACTATTATTACAATTCTACATCTGTAGTCAAATGCCTCCCCAAAGGTCTGAACCAATACTAAAAATCACTTCCCGATCAACTTCAATAGATATCTAATGGCTTCTTCCAGCTCTACTTATTAATAACAGAATGGTCTCTTGAAACAAAACAAAAAGGCAAATAAGCAGGCTCAAATCTTTTGAGAACTTCTGTTCCTAAATATTTTGGGTGTGGGTACTAGGAACTGAACTCAAGAGTACTCAATCACTGAGCCACATCCCCAGCCCATTTTTTGTATTTTATTTAGAAAGTGACAAACTGATCAATGAGTTTCTTAGCACCTTGCCATTACTGAGGTTGCTTTGAACTCCAGATCTCCTGGATCAGCCTCCAGAGCCACTGGGATTACAGGCATACACCACCTTGCCAAGCTGATCCTACTTCTAAATTCTCTGTTTTCTTTAATGGGAAGGATGATGTAAAGAAGCCAGATTATCTTAGTCACCATTATCTACTTTCCATCTCTGTCTCCCACAATTTAGTGGGATCTTTTCTCATCTCTAAATGGGAAATTAATATAAATTGTCATTTTTGATACATTTGAAATTTTTCATTCTTTAACAAATCTTAACTTAGTTATAATGATTACCTGTGAACTGAAAGTTTCTGAGGATAAAATAGTGCAAAATTAATCCTAGTCTTTTTCTACAGAGTTCAAATTCAGGGGATAGATATAGGGCTTATTGAAAAGGAGACAGACTGACACAGACAGACACAGAATTAGATGTATTACATAGAATAATATGTCCATATTTTATAACACAATATATATTATAATATATATTAATGTATTATATTATATATCATTATACATTATATATTATATCATATTGTTTGTTTGTTTGTTTGTTTATTTATTTATTTATTTCTCAAGTCAGACATTTAGAGCTAACTTTACAAATTCCTCCTCCTAAAGTTGTCTCCAGGCACTTGCTTGTGGAATCTCCATTCTGACACCACTGAATTCATTCTCCACATCCAATTCCCGGGAAAAGAAAAGATTTTACAGCTTTCCTGAGATATGTAACTCCCAATTCCAACCCTAGATACTAATTATACTGGTTATGTTCTTCCACAGGATTTGTGCGTTTGGATGGAGGAGATGGACCCTGCTCTGGACGAGTGGAAGTGAATTCTGGAGGAGGATGGACTCCAGTATCTTATGGGAATTTCACATTGCCCACTGCCCAGGTCATCTGTGCAGAGCTGGGGTGTGGCAAGGCAGCATCTTTTCTCTTGGACCTGACCCTGAGAGACGCCAGTGAACAGATCTGGCCTGAAGAGTTCCAGTGTAAGGGATGGGAGTCTGAGCTCTGGTTCTGCCCCAGAGTGCCCTGTCCTGCAGGCAGCTGCCAACACAGAGGGGCTGTGCAAGTTGTCTGCTCAGGTGAGACCCACAGCAGGACTTTAACCTTTTTGCACACTCTGTTGTGGTTACAAATGTGAGCTATTACTGAAATCCTGTCTTCTCCTGCCAGAGTACATAGAAGTCAGGCTCATGAAAAATGGCAGCTCTCAGTGTGAGGGTCAAGTGGAGATGAAGACCTCTGGAGGCTGGAGAACACTCTGTGCCTCCCACTGGAATATGGCCAATGCCAATGTAGTTTGCCGTCAGCTGGGCTGTGGAGTTGCCATCTCCACCCCAAAGGGAGCATATTTTGTTGAAGGAGGAGATGAGATCTGGATAGACCGATTTCACTGCTCAGGGTCTGTGTCCTTCCTGTGGAATTGCCCTGTGACTGCCCTGGGCGTTCCTGCCTGTGCCCATGGAAACACAGCCTCTGTGGTCTGCTCAGGTAAGAGAGGTCAGGGCTGACTGGTACTTGAATGACAGTCTCTAAGAGCAGATATCATGGAGAGCAGACTAGAAATATGAGATATTCCTTGGGGAAATATGACTCTTCTCAGTGATCTTTCATTTTTCAGACTCTGTCAAGTGTTATTCAGAGGAATTATTTTGATTGAAAAAGGCTATAGCTTTATTATTGCTTATAGCTTAAGCACACAAAAAAATAAACAGAGTAAAATGAAGAATGTACAAATATGTTCTGCAAAGTTTTCTCGAATCTTAAACTTCTGCTACCACATTTACTTCAAACCTTTTTGTTATTTTTTAAATTTGTTCTTACTAGCTATACATGATAGTAGAATGTATTTTGATATATTATACATATATGGAATATAAATCCTCATTCCTCTGATTGTACATGGAGTAGAGTTACACCAGTCATGTAATGCACACAGGGTAATAATGTCTGATTCACTCTACTATCCTTCCTACCCTTATACAACTTCCCCTCCCTTCACTCTCCTCTGTATAATCCAAAGTAACTCTATTCTTTCCAACACGCACCCACCTTAGTGTGAATTAGCACTTGCATATCAGAGAAAACATTTGGCCTTTGGTTTTGAGGGATTGGCTTATTTCACTTAGCATGATAGTTACCCATTTGATTGAATGGCCAATTTACTGCCAAATGCCATAATTTCATTCTTCTTCATGGCTGAATAATATTCCAATGTGTATATATACCATATTTTATTTAACCATTCATCTGCTAAAGGACATCTAGGTTGGTTCCATAGCTTAGCTATTGTGAATTGAGCTGCTATGAACTTTGATGCACCCTGTGGCTATACCATACTGATTTTTAGTCCTTCAGGTATATCATGAGTGGTGGGATAACTGAGTCAAATGGTGGTTCCATTGGAAATATTCTGAGGAACCTCTATACTACTTTGCATAATGGTTGCACCAATTTTCAGTACTACTCACCTTGTATGAGTTTGCTTTTTTCCCAAAATCCTTGCCAACATTTATTGTTACTTGTATTCTTGATAATTGCCATTCCAACAGAAGTAAGATGAAATCTCAGTATAGTTTTAATTTGCATGTCTCTAGCTACTAGAGATCTTGAATTTTTTATATATATATTTGTTGGCCAATTGTATTTCTTCTTCTGTGAAGTGTCTGTTCAGTACCTTAGCCCAATTATCTACTAGGTTATTTGGGAGTGGTTAAATTTCTGAGATCTTTATTTACCCTGTAGAATAATCTGGAAATAATTTTCTCCTTATCGGTATGCTTTCTGTTCATATTCTTTATTGTTTTCTTTGTTAAGAAGAAGCCTTTTAGATTGAATCCATCCCATTTGTTTCTAGATTTTATTTCTTTCACTTTAGGAGTCTTGTTAAGGAAGTTAGTTTCTAAGGTTTCATGGTGGAGATTTGGGCCTATTTTTACTTCTTTTAAGCACAGGGTCTAAGGTCTCAAGCCTAAGTCCTTCATCAATTTGAGTTGAGTTTCATGCAGGGTAAGAGATTTGGACTCAATTACATTTTGCTACATATGAATTTCCAATTTTCCCAGCACCATTTTTGAAAAGGCTATCTTTTCTACAATGTATATTTTTGGCACCTCATACTAGCTGAAAGATAGTATGAGATAACTGTATTTATGTGGGTTTGTTTCTGTGTCTTCACTCTCTACAACTGGTCTGCCTGTCTGATTTGGTGCCAACACCATGCTGCTCCTTGTAACTATAGCTCTGGAGTATAATCTAAGGTCTTCTAATGGGATGCTTCCAGCTTTATTTTTATTGCTAAGGATTGCTTTGGCCATTCTGGGTCTCTTATTTCTCCAAATGAATTTCATGACTTATTTTTTGGATTTTCCATGTAAGAAAATCCATTGTAATTTTAATGGTAATTGCATTAAATCTGTATAGTGTAATTGAGAGTATGACCATTTTCACAATATTAATTCTGCTATCCATGAACATGGGGGTTCTTTTCAACTTCTGTGATGTTTTTCATTTTTTTCCTTTAATGTTCTGYAGTTTTCATTGTAGAGGTCTTTCATCTATTTTGTTATACAGATTCCCAAATATTTTAATTTTTGCAGCCATTTGAATGAGATGGTTTTCTTAATTTCTTTAGGAAAGCAATTGATTTATGGGAGTTAATTTTATATCACTGTACTTTGCTGAATTTATTATTAGTTCTAGAAGTTTTCTGGTGTAAGTTTTTTGGGTCTTCTAAATATGAGTTATGTTGTCAGCAAATAGGCATTGTTTGAGTTCTTCCTTTTCATTTAATTTCTTCCTTCTGTTTAATTGCTCTGGCTAGAATTTTAAGAACAATGTTGATCAAAGTAGAAAAAGAGGGCATCCTTGTCTTGTTCCAGTTCTTAGAAGGAATGCTTTCAGTTTTTCCTTGTTTAGAATGTTTTTGGCCTGGTATTTAACAAAAAATAGCTTTCACAATGTTGAGGTATGTTCCTACTCTCCCTAGCTTGTCTAGTTTTTTGAACATGAAGGTGTGCTGTATTTTGTTAAATGCTTTTTTTCTGCATCTATTCAGATGATAATAAAATTCTTGTCTTTAAGCCTATCAATGTGTTGAATTATGTTTATTGATTTCTGTATGTTGAATGAAACTTGAATCCCTGGGATAAACCCCACTTGATCATGGTGCACTATTATTAATATATTTGTATAAGATTTACCAGAATTTTAATGAGAATTTTTGTATCTATGTTTATCAGGGATATTGGTGTGAAATTCTCTTTCTTTGATTTGTCTTTGCTGTTTTATCAGAGTGATAGTGATAGTAGCTTAATAGAATGAGTTTGGAAGGATTGCCTTCTTTTCTATTTCATGGAATAATTTGAGGACTATTAGTGTTGATTGTATTTTTAACTTATTTTTGAAAATGACAGAATAAAGCATTACAATTTTTATTATATGTATATAGCACAATTTTTCATATCTATGGTTGTACATAAAGTATGTTGACACCAATTTGTGTCTTCATCTTTCAGTGTATTGATATGATGAATTACATTTGTTTATTTCCATATGTTGTTTCCCAGTGGTGAATCCCACTTGATAATAGTGCACAATTTTTTGATATATTTTTGTATTCAATTTACCAGAATTTTATTGAGAATTTTTGTATCTATATTCATTAGAGATATTGGTCTGAGGTTTTCTTTCTTTCTTTCTTTCTTTCTTTCTTTCTTTCTTTCTTTCTTTCTTTCTTTCTTTCTTTCTTTCTTTTTTTTTTATGTGTCTTTGCCTGGTTTTGAGATGAGGGTGATATTGGCCTCATAGAATGAATTTGGAAGTGCTGCCTCTTTTTCTATATACTGAAATAAATTGAAGAGTATTGGTATTAGTTCTTCTTTAAAGGTCTGTAGAACTTGGCTGTGTATTCATCTGGTCCTGGGCTTTTATTAGTTGGTAAGCTTCTGATGGCATCTTCTATTTCATCACTTGATATTGGTCTGTTTAAATTGTCTATATCTTCCTGATTCAGTCTGGGCAAATCATATGACTTAAGAAATTTATCAATGCCTTTACTATCTTTTATTTTATTGGAGCATAAGTTTTCAAAATAATTTCTAATTATCCTCTGTATTTCTGTAGTTTGTGTTGTGATGTTACTTTTTTCATCATGTGTGCTGGTATTTTGAGTTTTCTCTCTCCTTCTCTTCATTAGTGTAGCTAAAGGTCTGTTGCTTTTATTTATTTTTTCAAAGAACCAACTTTTTGTTCTGTCAATTTTTTAAATTGTTTATTTTGTTTCAATTTCATTAATTTCAGTTCTAATTTTAATTATTTCTTGCCTCCTACTGCTTTTGCTGTTTATTTGTTCTTTTTCTAGGGCTTTGAGATGTAGTGTGAGGTAATTTATTTGTTGACTTTTTCTTCTTTTAAGGAATGAACTCCATGAAATGAATTTTCCTCTTATTACTGCTTTTATAGTCTTCCAGAGATTTCAATATGTTGTGTCTATGTTCTCATTTACCTCTAAGAATTTTTTAATCTCCTCCTTGATGTCTTCTGAAACCAATTGTTCATTCAGTAGCATATTCTTGAGTCTCCAGCTGATGGAGAAATTTTTATTTTTTTATTTTGTCATTGATTTCCAATTTCATTCCATTATGATCCAATAAAATGCATGGTAGTATCTCTACATTTTCATATTTGCTAAGAGTTTCTTTGTGGCATAGTATATGGTTTATTTTAGAGAAGGATCCAGGTGATGCTGAGAAGAAAGTGTATCCGCTTGACACAGGTTGAAATATTCTATATGTGTCAGTTAAGTCTAAGTTATTGATTGTATTATTGAGTTCTATAGTTTCTTTATTCAACTTTTGTTTGGAAAAGTTGTGAGAGAGGTTTGATAAAGTCACCCAAGATTATTGTGTTGTGGTCAATTTGAATCTTAAACTTGAGAAGTATATGTTTGATGAACCTAGCTGCACCATTGTTTGGGGCATATATATTTATGATTGTTATGTCTTGTTGATATGGTTCCCTTAAGCAGTATGTAATGTGCATATTTATCCCTTTTGATTAGCTTTGGCTTGAAGTCTACTTTATTTGATACAAGGATGGAAACCCCTGTTTGCTTCCACAGTCCATGTGAGTGGTATGATTTTTACCAACCTTTCACCTTCAGTCTGTGTATATCTTTTTCTATCAGATGAGTCTCCTGGAAGCAGCATATAGTTGGGTCTTTTCTTTTAATCCATTCTGCTCGCCTGTGTCTTTTGATGGTGAGTTTAAGCCATTAACATTCAGGGTTATTATTGAGACATGGTTTGTATTTCCAGCCATATTTGTTTAGTTTTGTTATTTATCTTGACTTGATTTTCTTCTTTGATTAGTTTTTCCTTTAGGGTACTACCTCCCTCTGCTGATTTTCATTGTTTTTTTGTTTCCTCTTCATGGAATATTTTGTCAAAGATGTTTTGTACAGCTGGTTTTCTAGCTATAATTTTTTTAACTTTTGTTTATTATGGAAGGTTTTTATTTCATCTTCAAATATAAAGCTTAATTTTGCTGAATACAAGGTTCTTGGTTGGCACTCATTTTCTTTCAGAGCTTGATCTACATTATCCCAGGATCTTCTAGCTTTCAGTCTCTGTTTGAAAAATTTGCTGTTACCCTAATGGGTTTTCCCCTATATGTAATCTGATTCTTTTCTCTTGTGGCTTTTAAAATTCCCTCCTTGTTCTATATGTTGAGCATTTTTATTATAATGTGCCTTGGTGTGGATCTGTTTTGCTTTTATACATTTGACATCCTGTAGGCTTCTTCAATTTGAATTTCCAATTTATTAAATAAATATTGAATGCTTCATGAATTTGCATGTCATTCTTGCACAGGGGCCATGCTAATCTTCTCTGTATATTCCAATTTTAGTATAGTTGCTGCTGAAGCAAGCACTTGATTGTATTCTTGACTGATATCCATTTTTCCCTCAAGGTTTTGTAGAACTTGGCTAAGAATCCATCTGGTCTTTGGCTTTTCTTGATTGGTGGGCTTTTTATGGTGATTTCTATTTTAATGCTTGAAATTGATCTATTCAAATTGTGTATGTCCTCCTGATTCAGTTTGAATAGATCATATGTATCTATAAATTTATCAGTGTATTCAAGATTTTTTATTTTATTTTTGAGTACAAATTTTCAAAATACTTTCTGATTGTCATCTGTATTTATATGTAATATATCTTTTTTTTCATCACAAATTTTAGTAATTTTTGTTTTCTCTCTCTTTGTCTTAGTGGTTAAGGATTTATCTGTTTTATTGATTTTTTGCCAAACAACCAACTTTTCATTTTGTCAATTGTTTGAATTATTTATTTTGTTTTAATTTTATTGATTTCAGCTCTAATTTAAATTTTTTTATGTCCTCTACTGCATTTGATGTTTATTTATTCTTGTTTTTCTAGGGCTTTGAGATGTAATCTTAGGTAACTTATTTGTTGACTATGTATTCTTTTAGTGAATAAACTCAAGACAATGAACTTTCCTCTTAGTACTGCCTTCAAAGTGTCCCAGAGATTTTGATATATTGTGACACTATTTCTATTTCCCCTAAGTAATTTTTTTGTTTCATCCATGATTTCTTCTGCAATCAATTGGTCATTCAGTAGTGTATTATTTAATCTCCTGGTGTTAGAGTAGCTTCTATTTCTTAACGTTTATCTTTGATTTCTAATTTTATTCCATTATGATTGAACAGAATGCAAGGCATTATTTCTATTTGTTTTTATTTTCTAAGTGTTGCTTTGTGACATAAGATATGATCTATTTTATAGAAGGATTCATGTGCTACTCAGAAGAAAGTGTCTTTGATCGTTGATAGATGAAATACTCTATATATGTCTTTAAATCTAAATTATTGATTTCATTATTTAGTTTTTTAGTTTCTTAGCTTTTGTTTGGAGGATCTATCCAGTGGTGATAGAGGTATGCTATACTCATGCAGTATTATTGTGTGGTGACCCATTTCTTTTTTGAAATTGAGAAGAATTTGTTTCATGTACACAAATGCTCCATTTGGGGCATAAATATTTACAATTGCTATGTCTTGCACATGTATAATTTTCTTAAGCAATATGAAATATCCTTCTTTGTGCTGTATGATTAACTTTTGCTTGAAGTTCACATTATCTGATATGAGGACAGAAATCCCTGTTTGTTTACATGACCATGTGAGTGATACAGTTTTTCACTTTTTGTCTGTGAATGTCTTTAACTATGAGGTGGGTCTCTTGAAGAGGCATATTGTTGGGTCTTGTTATTTTAACCCAACATGCCAGTCTATGACTTTTGATTGATGGGTTTTGGCTATTTATGTTCAAAGATATTATTGAAATATGATTTGTATTCCCAGTCATTTTGTTTTATTTCTGGTTTTTAATTTGATTTAGTTTACCCTTTGATTGGCTACTCCTTTAGTGTGCTTCCTCACTTTGCTGCTTTTCACTTTTATTTTTTAATTCTTTTTCATGAAATATTTTGCTGAGAGTGTTCTGTAGTGTAGGGCTTTCTATTTATGAATTCTTTTTAATTTTGTTTATCATGGAAGGTTTTGATTTCATCTTCAAATATGAAACTTAATTTTGCTAGGTATTGAATTCTTGGCTGACATCCATTTTCTTTGAAAGTTTGAAATATATTATTCCAAGACCACATAGATTCAAGCATCTGAGTTGAGAAATCAGCTGAGATGAAAATTGGTTTTCCTCTAAATGTAATGTGACATTTGCTTTCTAGCACCCTTAAAAAATGTATCCTTATTTTGTAAGTTAGGCATTTGAATGAAATGTTAGGCAAGAAAGAAAGAGGAACACAAATGAAAAATACATTTCATTTTACTCATCATTTTCTGACTCATAAATTTGGGAAGAGCTCTTGGCATTTGACTCTTGAGATCTGGCATGAGGTTGCACTTGAATGTCACGTGGAACTGAGATCATTTGAAGACTTGACAAAGCTTGGAATCCAGGATAGTTCATTCACATAGCTGGTAGCTTGAAATTGACAGAACCACCTACAAATGTTCTCTCCCACATATACAGTAGATATGCCATAAATAAAATATCCTAAAGAAAAGGAGGCATAACTTTCTAAGCTAGGTTTCTAGGTCAAGCTATTTTGGCTTCACCACATTCTATTGCTTACATCTCACCATGATCAGCCCAGATTCAAGAGAAGGAAGAATGGACTTCACAGGTCAATGGATAGAGCATCACATATTCTGTGGATATGTTTTAAAGCTATATGTGTATTGAATATCTGACTATATATTTTCTCAGTTGTACTTTTAGCACTATTATAGTGGCCTTAAATACCTAAAACTTATAGATAAAATAAGAATGTTAGGTTCACTCACTATGTCTTTCAAGTCTCTGTTTATAAGTTCTATCCTTTTCTTTCTATGATTTTCTCAGTGTATTTTATATATTTTTGTAATTATCAATTTCTACTCTGTGATAATCAAATGTTTTTTACTCATCTTTGGGTTCTTATTTTTAGCTCTTGACTTTTTAACTCTCAAATTTTTACTATATTTTTGTGGTTACATCTCTGCCAAGATGAACATCATGCCATTTAATAGACAATTTATCATGATTACTTAAATTACCTATAAGGAAACACCAATACTAACATGAAAAATATTTCTCATTTTTTCTAATTGTTCTCCACTTAACACTATTTTATGTGATATTTTGGATCAGCATTGTTTTTGAGAAACTATACAAAACCATCAGAAAGTATTTTATTTTGCCTCTTCCAGGTACTCTATTTAAGATACATCACATTATACAAAAACAATTCAAGTTTTTAGAAACTGGGCACCATTATTGTGACAAAATACTTTTAATTCACAAAATATGATACAAGTTTCCTGGTTGTGTAACTTGATTCCTCCTTTTTGGTTCAAACCAAATTATATTTGTGTATGGCCAAAACAATCTGGCAAACATACTGAGATTATCAGTCTCACCTTCTAACTTTGAGTGGGCAAATGCATCCATGGAAAAATAGTGGTTCCCACATTTAATTTTTTCTGAACTTGATTCCTAAAGTCTAGCTATCCTGCTAGCTCTGCAATGTTCTCAAGAAGCACTAACATAGTCCCACTTTCTTAAAGTCACTCCTAGTGCATAACATAAAGCCCCAAAGTGTCAGATTAGAAGCAGAAATCATCATTAGGAGAACAATTCTGAAGATAGGAAATTACTGATCAGGGACTACAGCTTTCAGATGACATCACTCGATTATTATGTAACTTAATTCAGTTTCATCCACTCTACGCCCATCTGTAGGTAACCAGACCCAGCTGCTGCCCCAGTGCAATGACTCCTGGCCTGAGCCAGCAGGCACTGTAGCCTCAGAAAGCCACACTGTCAACTGCTTAGATGAGCAAGGCCCCAGCACCAGAGCCTTCCCATTCCCTGTGTAAATGCCCACTGACATGACCCTGTCTCTCCTCAGACAGCAAAGAGCTCCGTCTGGTGGACGGGGGTAGTCGCTGTGCAGGGAGAGTGGAGATCCTGCAGCAGGGCTCCTGGGGCTCCATCTGTGATGACAGCTGGGACCTGAGTGATGCCCATGTGGTGTGCAGACAGCTGGGCTGTGGAGTGGCCCTGGAGGCCACCGTCTCTGCTCACTTTGGAGAGGGATCAGGGCCCATCTGGCTGGATGAGGTGAACTGCACAGGAGAGGAGACCCATGTGTGGCAGTGCCCTTTCAAGGGCTGGGGGCAACACAACTGCAGTCACAAGGAGGATGCTGGAGTCATCTGCTCATGTCTGTGGTGCACACTGTTCATATGCTGGGAGGACAGGGGAGTGTCTGCAATATTTTTTTTGAGCTTCATACAGGGGTTGGGACAGGGCAGAGGGGAATGACAGTTCCTGTCCTTTCAACAGAGAACTGAGGTGCTTCTGTTTCCTGCTGCAGCTACTGAGCTTCTGCTCCTTCCCTCTCAGCACTGTCCCCTGACACAGTCATTCTCTACAGTGTCTATTTAAAGCAGCCCTCACTCTTCTGTTACCTGCCAGTGCAATATCGTGACCCACTGAATTAGTTTTCTCTTTCTGCTGTCACAAGTTACTATAGACTGAGTGACTCAAAACAGCACATATAAGTCATCCTACAGTGCACACATTAGAATTTTGAACAGGGTTTGTGTGGGCTATAAACAAGATGTGAGCAGGCTACAACAGCTGCAGCTCTGGGAAGACTCATTTCCTTCCTTTTGAAGCTTCTAGAATTTGACTTAATTCCTTGTCTCATGACCCCTTCCTTCTTCAAAACAACAATGGTGCAATCCTCTGACCATCTTTTCATATTCACATCTTCCTCTGATGAGAGGCAGAAAGAATTATCTACTTTTGATGATAGAGGTCTAGGGATATGACAGATTGCACTCAACTATCAATCCAGGATGATCCAGAATAATTTACAAAAGAATCTTAATTGTGTCTTAAGAGCACTTTGGCAAGGAGGTAAAATATTCACACACTCCAAAGATCAGGGAGTGGACATATTTGGATCTCCAATCTTCTGCCACTGTTCTGTCCACCCTTCTTTTCTAGGGTCTGTCAGACTGAGTGACTCAAATAAACACATATATGTCATCCTACAGTGCACAGATTAGAATTTTGAACAGGGTCTGTGTGAAGTATAAACAAGGTGTGAGCAGGTCAGGTATTAAATACTAAGTTTCTTTTTTACAGAGCCCCTAAGTCACTGTTCCTGCCTGTTTATCTGCTAATATTACATTGTTGTAGAAACAGAGGGGTACAAGTTAGCAAAACAGGTTAGAGGGACAAAAATTCCAGACTTCAACCTAGTGGATACTTCCTCAGCAGAGTCAGCAATGAGCACTCACTACTTAAGAATAAAAAAAAAAAAAAAACAACACTAAGAGTTGAATGCTAACTGACCCCCGTATTCCTCCTTTCCATTTCAGAGTTCCTGGCCCTCAGGCTGGTGAGCGAGGACCAGGAGTGTGCTGGATGGCTGGAGATTTTCTACAACAACACCTGGGGCAGTGTATGCCGCAGCCCCATGGAACCCGTGACCTTGTCTGTGATCTGCAGACAGCTTGGCTGTGGAAACATTGGGACACAGAATTTCTTGATTCCTTCCAGGGAAGGTACTAGGCCACACTGGGTGGATGGAATTCGCTGTCGAAAAACTGATAGCTCTCTCTAGCATTGTCCTTCTGACCCGTGGAAACACCAATCTTGCTCTGCAAAGGAGGAAGCTCATATCACGTGTACAGGTGACCTACTGTCTATTTCTATGTGTGTGTCCTATGCCTGTAGATTGCTGTTAGGAAAGTTTCATGTATTTAAAATAATGGATGAGTTCAAATAAGTATACAAAATGAATACTGGATTGAGATTACTTGATCCAGCTCTTGCAATCAAGGCAGATGTCAGGGAACCTGCAATGATAGAAATTTATGTGAAAAGTACCAGATACTTAACTGAGTGAATGGGAGCATGATTCTGTACTCTGATGAACATTATTAGAAATTAGCTAATGCAGTCTTACCTTATATTAATTACTCTGTATTTCCTTAGTGAGAGTGTGAATTATTGGACCTCAATAATACACATAAGATATCACTTTGTTCTCTAATACCACCACATGTAATGTAGCCTAATTGTCACATTAAAGGCTTGGTAGGCATTATGGTGATAATTTATTTCAGATGAGGAAAACAAGGTTTGGAGTAAACAATGCATCTACCTCACACTTTGAATTGAGTGAATTGCAACTTGTGGAATTCTATACAATGGGCTGTTTATTCTGAAATCCATTACAGCAGTCAGACAACCTCTCAGATTAGTTTGTTGATGATAAGTAATTGTGTGATTTCTAGGTAAAAACTTAATACCAAGCTGGAAAACAGACATAAGAAGAAAATATCACCCCTGCTCTCATGGAGTTTTCACTCCAGCCTGATGAAAACACCATGCATAAAATTTAGTGTCATGAAGGTATGGTAGGTGCTGTACAAATATGTGCATTGAGGAAGACAGAAACCATATTTAGGTTGAGAAATAAAGGAGGAGTAGAGGTGCAATGCAGGAAGAAAGTAGAGCATTTGCTCAGTTTAAATACTGAGGTAAAAAGAGCATGGTGACCTTGAGTTACTGATGCAGTCTCATCATGTGCAGAGCAGGACGAGGATGGAGAAGAGCAATGCCTGATTACCTGCATGGGTAAGAAGAGCACAACACCTCTCCCATGCATGACCCAATAACAATCCTGGTAAAAAGCTGTTTCTTAGTCTTCTTCTCTGGTACATCATGGGGAAGTGCTATGAGATGAAGGGCCTGGTCTCCCCTCGTTTTCCTCTTAAGTTGATCTCCTTACAGTGCCAGTGGATTTGGTTGATGCTGTCCCTCTGAGGCTGTATATGGATACTACTGCAAACTAAGGTGCCCACTTCATTCCTCTCCCAGGAAACATTAATGTGGCCTGAAGAAAATTGGAGCCTAATATCTTCTAAGTTCTTAAGAATTGTAACACATCCTTCAAATTCATGCTCTGATAAAAACCTGGCTACCCTCTGAAAACAATGATTTCCTTTTTAGCTGGAGGCTCTGGACAAATCAGAGAATATTTATGCTGCACCTTGTCCAGCAACATGAAATTTGCCCCATGAAGTGACACCAGCCACCACTTCTGTTGGTGCCACTCTCCAGCCTGGTCACTCCCCTCATCCAGGAAGGCTGCAGTACCAGGCTCATCAGGCTCCTCTGCCTCCTGTTCCTGGTGCTGCCAGAATCCTTGAATACAACTGAGATAACATCCTGGGCCTCTCTACTCCTGAATTTCTCCTTTTGAAATGCTCCCTCACACCCATCTCCATGTATAGCCACACTTTTGACCATCACTAACTGTCCAGCTTGAGATCTTGATGGCATTTTTTACTTCTCTGACTATTGCTTCTTCTCTTTATGACACATATTCATGATGCAACTTTTCCAGATATTTCATCCTCATGCGGATTCTAAATGTTTTCCTTTTTCAGTTTCCACTCTCCTTGTGATTATACGTGTTCTTCTTACCCTGATTAAATGAAATAATGTCCCATTATAATCATTCCCCTTCAAGTACACCCAACTCCCTAGTCTCTTCTGTAATTCAAAGATAAAAATAGTATTGCCTCTCAATTAATCCCATCAGAAACTTAATTCACCAACTGAGTTAGACTTATGAAAGTCTTAACTCTCATAACCCAAACATTTGTCCTCTAAAACTTCTTGCATTGTCTCATCAGAAGCTTTGGGGGCACCTCACATCCAAACCATAACACCCACCAATGTTTTAGCAGGGCTAGGTCATGGTTAAATTAAGGGAAATCCTCACTCAAGTGGCACAGCACACCCAAACTGTTCAAGGTTCTTGGCTTCATCATGATTATAATTCAGAAAGAAGATAATGAATAACAGCAGTAGCTACCACAGACACATAAACCAGCTATGAAAATACTATGAAATATAGTAATAATCAAACTCATTAACAACTAAATAAATAAAAATAGGTAAGGGAAATAATAAATATAGAATGAACAAAAAGTAAATTAATAAAAGGAAAAATTATTCAAAAAGGAAAATTGCAGAAGAAAACTCACAGAGAAGAAAAGAAGAAGAAAAAATAACAATAAAACTATTTTATATAAAAAAGATGAGAAAGAAAGAGAAAAATTTATTTAAAGAATTTTAAAATGCATTAAATATATACTAGTAAGGAAAACATAATAATGTAGATATTAAAAAAAGAAAAATGTGTCTAAAATATTCCCAGACAATATACTTGCATACAGACACCTCTATCCTGGTCTTTTAGACACCTCTTTCCTGGTCATTTAGAATTTGAATCCACCAGGTGTCCCTAGGCTAAAAAAGAAGCCAAATATAGCTCCTTTGAATTCCATCAAAAAGCTAGGAGCAGGTATGGTGGTGCAGACCTGTAATTCCAGCAGCTCAGGAGGCTGAGACAGGAGAATTGAGGGTTCAAAACCAGCCTCAGCAACAGCCAGGTGAAGCACTAAGCAACTCAATGAGACCCTGTCTCTATATAAAATACAAAATAAGGCTGGGGATGTGGCTCAGCAGCCAAGGGCCCCTGAGTTCAAACCTGGTACAAAAAAAAAAAAAAAGAGCTAGGTTATGGTGTGATATGCTGCCTACACTCTGCTCCACATTTCCTGCAATGGAGGTTAAGGAATGTTGATGGGGCAGGCCATAATCATGCTGGAGGTGTTCCATTTGAAATAGTAGGGGGCATAGTTAAAGTCAAAGTCACCCCAAGCCCTTCCTTCAGTGATTTGTGGACCCAACTGGTGGGCACACACTTGCTCCAGGGACCCTGTGCCCTTGGAGTCTAGCCAAGTGTCACACCATGGTGAGTCTCTGGAATTCCTGTGAAAACTGGTGTAAACAATCAAACTACTGAACTCCACCCAGGAGATGGGGCACAGGAATGGGGTGAATCATCAGATATGATCTCTGAGCTTTCAAACCTGGCCTCTCTGTGCAGCCGCCTGAGACTGGAATCACTCCTCTTCATGTTGAGAAGGCCCACATATTAATGAGGCCTCTAGTCCCTTCTCTGCGTCCATCTCAGTGTGTTTGTCGAAGTGAGTTTTCCTATCTGAGACTGTAAGTGCTCACATCTTCCATCTAGTCACTGTGGAAATGGGGACCTAGGGACCATGTATTATAATGAATCCATTTTATAATTCCAGCACAGTTTTGCCTCTACAATAGTAGCCTTCTCAAGATGGCCCCTGGTTATAGCACTCTGAGAGCTTACTGAGCAAAGTGATAAATTCCTTCTCCAAATCTGGCTTGTTATATGGAAGGCATCCATCTCAGAACAACTTCCCAAATTTGATCTAAAACTTGTGAGAACCCTGTGTTTCTCCCACATGTAAGACAGCTGGAGTTGAAGTTGAAAATTGCTTTGTATTTTTCTCTGGGCTGCCTTAATGCTTCTCCATTTTGTCAACATTTTTTGTCATTTTTTCATTGGTTCTCAGTTTTCTTCCTCTTTCTCTTCTCAGAATACAGTTTCTCCTGTGTTCTCTGACTCTTGTCACTCACAGAGTCATAAAAAAGTGTAATTCTATTCTGCTATTTGCCTCCTCCTCAAGAACTCCTGGCAGGAAATCCAAAAACAGATTGGATATATTGGGGGAATAAGTAACATTCTATGATTCCTAGTGGCATTTGGGCAATGTCAGTATCTGATATCATCTGTTCAGGGAGGTGCCCAATCTACCTGAAGTGAACACAAATTTAAATTTTAATATCTATATTTGAAATATGAAGCCTAGAATCAATAGTGAAATATATTACAATAGCTATGGTTTGTCTTATGATCCATTTATTTTTTCAGACTTAATGCCTGTATAATTTCATTCCTCCCCCCCCCCTGGATTCATGGCTGTCACCTCAGACTTCTGATAATCTCATGGAAAGTCATGTGTATGTGCTTTACAAGAAACCAATTCAGATACAGGCCTATTACACTAACTCTTAGAAATCATTCAGAGAAGACACTTTCAGCTACTCAGATTAGGAATCTTGGCATTTCTCAAATTCTGTTGTCTCATAATATGCAGAAAAAGTTTTACTCTGATCAGATCTACATAATAACTTCTACCTAAGACTACTCATTTGATTATGTTGTGTTTGATTTCATTTCTTTTTTTCACAATTAATTTTCACAAGTTATGTTATAAACTCAGACTTACCTGCTATCCAACTATAATGAATGATTCCATGTCTTACTCAGTAAGTTCTACATTCTGAAAGTACATGCTGCCAACTGCTTGGTTGGGAAGGCAGTACCACATGACAAGAGAACCCTTCTCATTCTCTTTTTAAATACAACCATTGACCTGATTCTTTCTCTCAGAGAGCCCACAGCTCCGCCTGGTGGATGGTGGCAGTCGGTGTGCAGGCAGAGTGGAGATCCTTCACCAGCATTCCTGGAGCACTGTCTGTGATAACAGCTGGGATCTGAAAGATGCTCAAGTGGTGTGCAGACAGCTGGGCTGTGGAATGGCCTTCAATGCCTTGTTCTATGCACAATTTGGAGAGGGATCTGGACCCATCTGGCTGACAAAGATGGAGTGCACAGGAGAGGAGTCCTACTTGTGGAATTGCCCTGCCCTGGGCTTGGGAAAGAACAACTGTGAGCACTATGATGATGCAGGAGTCATCTGCTCAGGTATGGTCAGGACATTCTCCACTACCTAAGAGAATGGAAAGTTCCAGGAAGTAGTGTCTGATCCCTGGGGGAATAGGAGGTGAATTGTCCAGAGAGGACTAAGATCCTTTTCTGAATCTGTGGATTCAAGGGTAGCACTGGATGACAGGCTTCATTTATCCCTGTCCTGTAAATCTATGATATTGTCCTTTCCCTTCTCAACTCTCTTACTTCACAATATTTTTTTGTAGAACATTTAAACTTAAAGTCAATTTCATACTTTCATTTCTCTAATTTACAGGGTTTTTTTAGAATTACAAATAAATTAGCACACACACTCTGTTTGCAGCACTTTTCAAAGGACACACAAGAATGAGGCCCTACTTTTCTCAGTTGAATTGAATGTTTGTAAATGTATAGTCAGAAATATTTTGTACTGGTTTATTAGGTATATGGGCACAGAGATCAAACACATCRTAGGGTAATTTATGGATTATTGCAAAGTTGCAATTCTCCTTTCTAGATTTAGACATCAGAATTTTTATGTCATTGGCAGGAAGGCCAGAGATCTGTGATCTCTCACACAAACACCATGTAAACAGTTTTTCAGATACCAAACAGTTTGATAAGAGATAATAAACCAGGTGTATGAAAAGAAAAGTAACAAAATGATTGCCTGCTTTTATGATAATAAAAAGAAAAGACACATTGAAGGAGAGAAGAAAATAAGAGTTATCCTTTCCCTTAATCGAAGCAGCCCAGCATGAAGAAATATGCAACCTTCTTGGGGAATGGAAAGGTAATTAAGTCAAGGCCTTACACTTGAAACATAGAACTAGGGAGGTGCCCAGTAGAGCCCGACAACCCTTGGTCCTGTGCCAGTAACCTCAGATTGAGACTCTGGAACTATGTTTATTTGGACATCTAAGAGACTATCTCCACCCTCACTCTTCCAATCAGTCTTGGCAGAAGGAAATCAATACTCTGCTTTCTAAGGAGCAGGACACAAGAACAAATATAGAATTTTGTCTTAGAGCACAATGCCAGACACATTAATGATGATACTCTGTACTCAGTAGGAAACAGAGGACTCAAATGTAGGACAGAGCTCATAGAGAGCATGACCTGTGTACTGTGGGACACACTCAAGAAGAGCCTGTGGCTGGTTGCAGGAGTCTTGGGCCATGAGTCCACCTCAACAGTAGGTAGCTCATAGCATTGAGGACCTTGGTCCCTCCACAGAGCTGTGTTGCCTTGGCAGGCTGTGGCGTAGTGTGTGACATACCTTTGCAGCACTGTTCGCCACAGGACCACACTCCTTGCTCCTTCCCAAAGCCCCAGGGAGCACACTATGGAGAGATTTAAGTCTCTGCTTGGCTTTAAGGTTTAGTTGGGCTCCCAAATTTGACCTAGATGCTTGAGATCTTGTCATTACATAATATAATACAGCTTTCAAAGATGAAAGATAAAGAGTCTCAAGGAATCAAGAATAAAAACACAAAGAATACATAGAGTGTCCTAATTCATCTGACAGTTAACGTCCTGACAGGAAACATGTAGATCAGAAGTGATTGAAATGAGATTTTCATAGAACTGAAGGAAAAATCTGAGAATTAAAAATATACAACATTGGGCTGGGGATGTGGCTCAAGCAGTAGCATGCTTCCCTGGCATGCATGGGGCACTGGGTTCAATCCTCAGTACCACATAAAAATAGAATAAAAATGCTGTGTCCACCAAAAACTAAAAATAAATATTAAAACTTCTCTCTCTCTCTCTCTCTCTCTCTCTCTCTCTCTCTCTCTAAAAAAATACAGAATATGGCAAAGATGTCCTTTACAAACAAAGGAAATACAAAGCTATTATCAGACAACCTTCCCTCCAAAAAATCACCATATAATACAGCAATCACTGCTGAGCATATATCCAAAGGAAATTAATTCAGGATGTTGAAGGGACCTCTGTACTCTCATGTTTATGGCAGTTACTGACAGTAGTTGAAAGGGAAATAATCTAAGTGTCCATCATTTTATACGTGAATACAATGAAGTACATTTACATAATGGAATACTCCTTGGCCCAAAAAAAAAAAAAAAAAAAAAGAATGAAATCCTTTCATTTGCTGCAGCATACATGGACCTGAAAACCATTAGGTTAAGTGAAATAAATCAGGCAAAAAGGACAAGAGTCTTATAATCTCATTATATGTGAAACCCGAAAAAGTTGACCTCATAAAAATTTATTAGTTTAGACTGGAATTGTGATTTCCATAGGCTGGAAAGTGTAAGGGTTAGATATGGAAGGCTGCAGATTGATCAATTATAGGTTTTACTTAGATAGACCAGAAGTTCTTGTGCACCATTGCACAGTAGAGTGACTATAGATAGCAATAAGTAAACCTTATTTCAATAAGCAAGAAGAGAGTATATTGGAAATTTTCACAAAAGAAAATGAAAGTGTTTGAGGAAACAAAATAACACAGTATATCTGTGCATCAAGAGATCTATTTACTCCATTAATATGTATACTATCTATATTTTAAGTATTAGTTAAAACAAATTTAAATGAAAAAAGAAGAAAAATGCTATGGGTGACAAGATATGAGAGAAGTTTATATAGTTTATATGTGATGGATTCAGTAACACAAGGGAAGTGCATTGTGAGGTAAATTTGATAAGAATGAGAACAATGGAACATTTTGAGGAAGACAGAGGAATCTTCCAGGGTCTGGGGGATGGCAACAGAGGATTAACAAAGAGCATATAAGGATTATCTGAGCAGCACTTAAAGCCCTTGTGTAGGGTGGGGAGTCTATGTACATTTGTGTGAGTTCTGGTCACCCTTGCTGTGTCAAAGAAGAATGATTTGTAAGTCTAACTCAAAGTTGAGGTATTTAGGTCAGAATGGGGGAGCAAAAGTTCCCATGATGACACCTTTTTAAGAAATGTGAAACTTGCCCAATGAAGCAATGTGTCCTGAAGCAAAGAATCAGACAAGGATAGATCTGACTGCAATCTCTAGTGAGAATGATTCATGTGAATCAGTGGAATTCTGCAGATGCCATTTTTCTTCTTTTTTTCCCCCAACCAGTACTCTCATAATCTTCAAATGGCTTGAAATTATTTGTTTTTTGTTCTCATTATTTCCTTGAAATATTCATGCTCAACACCTAAAAACATTTCTGGAACATGGTAAATGCTAAAAAGATTAGTAATTTGGTTTATAAACCATGAAAGAAGATTCTCAATACTCTCTTCAAATACCTCTCTCCTATATCAGGTCAAGGTGAAAAGTTTAGATTATGTCTACTTTGAAAACCACTCTTCCTCATTTTATCCTTTCCTAATCACACACATTTTTGCCCATTTCTGGGCCTCCATTGACCTCTTTCCTTGTCCCCTGCTCTGCGTCTAAGGGAAGGTCTTGCTGCCTCCTCTGGCTTTCAGAGATGAGTGGGAAGCCCAAGAATACAGGTCAAGTTTGGTCTTCAAGGAAGATACTGGGATCTATGTGCACCTCTGCATTGCCTAATACCACATCTGATGGAGACATTCCCATCTACTCAGGTGACACAGTTCTGTGTCCTAAAGACTATAATAAGATTTTGGAGTGATGGACAAGGAGACAGGTGGATTCAGAAACAAAGCTTGTGTTCAAAGCCCTGGAGACTTGGTTAGATGCAGATGAGTGGAGCAGGAAATCTTGGCGTTAGTGGAAGTTAAAAAAAAAGTGTGATCTTGATGAAAGATGTTGGTAATCAACCTGGCCACCCTGCCTCTTTTGTTTACCTGGATAAATTTGAGCCCCAAAGTTCTAATAGCAATGTGAAGTGAAAGAGGCCATTTCTACAAGGGGAGAGAGCCCTAGTTTTGTAAAATCTGGGATGTGGAGAATTGGGGATCTCCGAGGAGGTGGCACAGATACAGAAAGTGTAGTTTCCTGCAGACCTGGTTTCTATAAGCCCTTCTGGGTCTTTACTGAAGTGTTTTTGCAAATAAACCCAGTTGGTAAAGTGAAGGGTACATCTGTGAAATAAGAGTAGAGATGCAGCACCAGAGAAAGGCACAGGGTATATCCTCTATTGAGGGGCTTGTTGAAGCAGTGGGGGTGGGTGTAGGAAAGTGGGAGCTTGAAAGCAAGAGCAGCTGTCATGGCGAGGCATAAATGAGGATATAGTGGACAGGCCTGGATTCAAGCTTATCTTTAATTTCTAAAAGGTCACTTACTCTCTCCAAGATCTGTCTTCTCTGTCAGTACATAAGGATGTAGCATATGAGCATCCTCAAAAGTATATCATTTTTAGTAACTTTTAACACATTTAACACTGTCAATAGCATTTATCTCTGTGGAGCTTTAAACTTAGCCATGAAAAAGGCCTAAACATAAGATAAAATTTTGGAGTGATGAATGAGGAAACATCACAAATCAGAAATTCTTTTGATTTTTAATTTTTATTGCAAAGGTTTGATATTCCAATAGAATTCAGTGCCTAAGACAAAGATACCCTCAACAAAAAGTTGAGGAATTTAGGTTACTAGAGAATTCACATAGAGGTTTAGGAAGGGAAAATGAGACTGAGAATGGATTTAAGATAAATATCATAGTACCTCATTTATTTATACAGGAAGCACCTACACCCAGACCTTGCCTGGGAGCTTCCCATCTGTCTGTCCCTATAAGAGAAGCTACCAAAAGACTCTCTTTGCTGTCATGTGCTAAACACACACTCTGCACCCTCAGTTCTTTTTGGTGCCAATTCTCCAGGTTTCTTAGGCTACAGAGCAGGACCATTTTCCTTTAATGGTTGTTGTGGGATTTGATGTTTTCCTCTTTTTGACTGAAGTGCAAGTGTGTCTCTGACTCTTCTGATTTAACATAAAAACAAAATTTGTTCTGTAATGTTCAAGATGTAGATATCAAACCTTAAGATTTCAAAGTTACTTTATTTTTTGCTGTGTTTGTCCTTTGGAGTTTTCATGGAATTTGGCTAGTTGTATTAATTCTACATCCATTAGTTCTTGTTAAAATAGCTCTTTTTTAAAAAGACAAATAAATGTATTGCTGAATTTGCAACAATACTGCCTTCAGAACACCTCAGGATTTCTGATCAGCACAATTACAGAGGCTCAGTTATGGTCTGAGTACATGTACTGTATGAATTTTACTCTTTCCTCTCTCAGGCTGTATAGCTGGATCAAGTTTCTATGATCTATGAAGAGTAGAAGAGTAAAGGTGAAACTTACATTGGGTGATCTATTTCTTTATTTAAAATTCTGCTGATTTTTAATAATGTAAATTATATAAAAGTTTATTGCAAAGGTTTGATATTCCATTAAAATTCAGTGCCTAAGACAAAGATACCCTCATAACATTTCACCCAGAGGACACTACACTCATATATTCCAGTGGATTATCTCAGATAAAACTTGCATGTAATGTTATTTTATCTCCACTGAGACATTCTAACTCTTGGAAGCTAGCAGTGGGTCAAATATTATTTTTAAAAAAGGAAAATAAAAAAGGAGATAGTGCCACTTCAGTCAAAATTGTGTTTCTATCTGAGCCTAAACTGCAATCAGTCATGCAAACCTGGTGGCCCTCTCTGGTGGTGCTCATGTTGACCTTTAATGTGAAGGTGGAACTGAGTGGAAACCAGAGTTCACAGAGAAGAAGACCTGGTGTATCCACAGGCAGAGCCTTCAGCCAGCCAAGTTTCTGTTCTGGAGGCTGGTCTTTGTTGTTCCTGTCACTGGACAACAGTAGTGATGGCTGATTTTATGATGCTCCTGTAGGCCTCATATTCTTTTAAACATAACCTCCTAAAGATTAGTGATTTCAGTTTGAAATTTGTATATCTGCATTTTGACTCTGTATGTAAGGTACACTATATTACTCCTCTATAATGATAGAAATTAAAATTATCAATGTAATTACACTTTACTCATTCACACTTTATTTTAATACATCAGCTTCAGAGATAAAAGGGAGTATATTAAGAAAGAATTTTATTAATTAGATTAATGCTTTTGATCTTCATTCCACTTTGATGGTTTACTTGGGGACAAATATAATGAACATGCTATTTTCTTGAGAAAGGATTCCTTGTTGAACTTCATTACTACATAAAATTACTATTACATTACAATTTCACATCTATAACCAAATGCCTCCCCAAATTATCTGAACCCATACTTGAAATCACTTCCTAACCAGCTTCAGTAGATGTATAATGGAATCTTAAAACCCTGTTTATTAGAAACAAAATAAACCCTTAAAACACAAAATAAAAGAAAAAATAACAATGCTTAAACTCAAATATCTCATATCTTCTGTTCCTATTTAAAAATGGCCTTTCTTTCTTCGATAATATGAAGAATGATTTAAAGAACTCTGATTATTATAGTCACAATAACCTGTTTTCTATCTCAGCCTCACACTATTTAGTGGTCTCTTTTCTTATGCATAAATGAGAAATAAGTATAAACTGTCAGTTTCCAGATCTATTGATTTTTTTATTCATTAACTAATGTTATATTAGTTAAAATTATTATCTGTGAATTGATAATTTCAGAGGATAAAATAGTGAAAAATTAATCCTAGTCTTTTTCTACACTGAGTTCATTTTCAGTGGATACATATGGATCTAATTTTTAAAAAAATGAGATAGATTTCACAGAAAGTCATTAGATTAAAATGCTTAAATTAAAATGATTAAAACACACAGATACATTTATAATACAAAGAATTATATGTCCATATAAAAGAAAACTGCTTATTATACACTATATATATTAATTTTTTGGACATATACACATGTGTGTAGAGCAGTGTGTATATTCATTTCTTGAATCAACAATTTAGAATTGACCTCAGAAATTCCTTCTCCAAAATTTGTCTTCACACACTTCCTCCATGAATTCACATTCAGACACCATCTGTTGAATCCAAGCCCCACACCACAACACTAAAAATCAAAACAAAAAAAAATTCACAGCATTACCTGTGAATTGTAGCTTCCTCCTTCTATTGGCTGGTACTTGTTGTTGTTTGTTTTTTCTCCCATAGGATTTGTGCATCTGGTTGGAGGACAAGGACCCTGCTCTGGGCAAGTGGAAGTGAATTCTGGAGAAGGATGGATTCCAGTATCTGATGGGAATTTCACATTAGCCACAGCCCAGGTCGTTTGTGCAGAGCTTGGTTGTGGCAAGCCTGCATCTGTCCTGGGGAACCTGCCCTTCAGAGGGGACAGTGAACAGGTCTGGGCTGAAGAGTTCCAGTGTGAGGGGCAAGAGACTGGCCTCTGGTTCTGCCCCAGAGTGCCCTGTCCTGCAGGGAGCTGCCCCCACAGAGGGGCTGTGCAAGTTGTCTGCTCAGGTGAGACTCACAACATGGCTTTAACCTCCCTACACACTCTATGGGGATAAGAAAAATGTGTGATGTTGCTAAACCCTCTCTTCTACCAGGATATACATATGTTCGACTCATGAAAAATGGCAGCTCTCAGTGTGAGGGTCAAGTGGAGATGAAGATCTCTGGAGGCTGGAGAACTCTCTGTGCCTTCCAGTGGAATATGGCCAATGCCAATGTCGTTTGCCGTCAGCTGGGCTGTGGGGTTGCCATCTCCACCCCAAAGGGAGCATACTTTGTGGAAGGAGGAGATGAGATCTGGAGAGACCGATTCCACTGCTCAGGGTCTGAGTCCTTCCTGTGGAATTGCCCTGTGACTGCCCTGGGCGTTCCTGCCTGTGCCCATGGAAACACAGCCTCTGTGGTCTGCTCAGGTAAGAGAGGTCAGGGCTGACTGGTACTTGAGTGACATGTCTCTAAGAGGAGACAGCATGGAGAGCTGACTTCAAAAATTAGACATTTTGTGGTGAATTATGATTCTTAATGATCATTCACCTTTCAGCCCTGTCAAAAAATATTAAGAAGATTGGTTTTAAGTAAGAATTATAATTTGTTGAAATTCATAGATAACACTATGTAAGAGTGAATGACAGCTCTGTCACATTCCTCACCCTGGACTGTCAGAGAGCATCAGCAGCTCTCAGAAGTCATTCTCACGTTCCTCCAGTCACTGTGCCTTCTCCCCTCAAAAGAAGAATGCTATAACTTTTGCTGCCAAAGAATATTTTCTTCAGATTTTGAGATTCATGTAAAATCATGCACCATGTTCTCTCTCTGTGTCTTCTTTGACTCAACATAATGTTTTCAATTTACCCATGTTTTTATTTTTAGCTGAGTCCTATTTTTATTGTTGTAGAGTTTTCTGCAAATAACTACAGGATCATATATTGATCAATTCAAATGATGTGGAGATTTGAGTTGTTTGCACTTTTTGAGTACCCAAATAATTATCCTACAAATTACCATGTCAATATTGTTTGATGCAAATATGGATATATTTGTTTATCTTTATTAACCCTTGTCCTTTCATATGCCCCCTCTTTATATGGTCTTCTTTCTGGAGTCAAGTTCTTGTTCTTTATGAAGCACGGCATATCAACATTTGCTGCACTTACAGTGTTCTAGTGTCCTTTTGAAAAAAAAWTAGTTATCATAAGATTATAAAAATATTCTTCAAGAGTACCTTGGACACATTTAGTTACATTTCTTTTACATATAATTTCACAATATTTCTGGAATTGGCATTGTATATAGTGTGTGGTGTGAAAAAAGTTTCACATCATTGTTTGTACATCCTATTTACTCAGAATCATTACTGAAAAGCCTTTTCCCCATTGCTGTGTCATCTTTGAAATACACAGGGTGCAGATATTTCTGACTCTTGCTCTATGCTCTGTTCCATTCCATTCTGTAATTTTCTAGGCTTGTACCTATGCATACCTCCTTAACTATAACTTTATAGCATGTCTGATTAACTTTTGTAAAGATTTCTTTAAAGTAACTGCTCTAAATGTGTTGTTTTTCCTGCCCAGTGCATTGGTCATTCTTGGTCTTCTGAATTTCAAATACATCTTACAAGCAACATGATATATTTAATTCAATAATAGAATGATGCTCTTTAGATTGAGTTTGGATTTGACCTAAACATCAATATGGAGCTAATTAATGTATAAGATATAGCTCTAATTTCCCTCAGAAATCAAACATAACTTTCCCTAGTTATAATATTGGTGTTTTATGTTTTTGATGTTATTTTATGAGTCTCTTTTAGTAAAATGTCCTAGGACATTTAATATTTTAGACTGATTTTTTGTGCTGTGACAGAAAGGCCTGACAAGAACAATTTTAGGAGAAAAAATTATTTTGAAGCTGAAGTTTTCAGAGGTCTCAGTCCAAAGATATCCTACTCTATTCCTTGTGGTTGAGGTAAAGGCAGAATATCATGGTGGAAGAGTGAAGCAGGGGAAAGGAGGTCAGCAGATGGCCACCAAGAAGCAGAAATGAGGAGAACTCTGCTCAACAAAGACAACATATAAATCCCCAAAACATGCCAACAGGGACCAATCTCATCCAGCCACAACATATCTGACTATTGTCACCACCCAGTTAATACTATAAAAGGATTAATGTGCTGATTAAGTTAAGATGTTTCTAACCCAATCATTTTACTTGTAAACTTTTCATTGTCTCACACATAAGCTTTTCTGGGATACCCAGTATCTAAACACCACAACTAGTTTTCATATTCACTATTTTGGTGGCTTTGTTTTTCTTTTTCTCTTTCATTTATTTTATTATTTTTATTGATGATTTGAGAATTCTGAATAAGCTTCAAAGATAGCACAAAATTCCCAGGTACCCCTAACCGTGATTCCCCAATGCTATTTTTTTTTCTATATTATCCCCTCTTCCTGCCACATTTTCTCTGAATATGTAAAATATTTCTGAGTGACTAGTTAAGAGTAGGTGAATAAGATATTTCCTTATTCTTGAAAAATTATCAAGACTATTTACATAACCACAGTTTCATTGCCAATTTCCATAAAATAACCTATTGGCTTCCACATATGATGGAGAATGTGTGGTACTTGTCTTTCTRTGTCTGGGTTATTGAACTTAACTTAATGTCCTATGATTCCATCTATTTTGATGCAAAAGGCAAGACACCATTCCTTTTATGGTCATATTTATACCACGTTCTCTTTATGAATTTCTCTTGCAATGGGCATCTGATTGCATATTATAGCTATTGTGAATAGTGCCCCCCAAAATATGGGAATGTACAATTGCTGTTCACAGTAAATACCATTGTCCTAGTTGCTATTGTTTTTAATGCATCACTGTCCCCACAAAAAAATAGCAACACAAGTAAAAATATATTTCATTTTGCCCATCATTTCCAGATTCATAAATTTGGCAAGGGCTTTTGGCAGTTGCCACTTGTGATCTCTCATAAGGTTGCACTTGAATCTCATCTGCAGCTGATGTCATTGAAGACTTGACCAAGCTGGGAATCCAGGACAATTTATTCACATGGCTGATACCTTAAAATTCACCTGGGGTTACTGACAGAACCACCTCAAATATTCTCTCCCACACAATAAATAGTCTCTACAGAGTAGAAGCAAAAATGCTACTAAGTCAGAGGAGGAGAACTGACTTTCTTAGCTAGGATCCTAAGTCAAGCTGTGCTGGCTTCACCACATTCTGTTGCTTATAGACATTATAGACAACTCACCACTGTCAGCCCATATGGGAGGGCAGGAGGAATGGATAGCACAGGTCAATGAATAGAGTGTCACAGAATTTGTGGGTATTTTCAAAAACTACAAGTGTGTTAAATATCTCACTTTGTGTATTTTCTAATTTTATTTTTGTTCAATCAATTATGGTATTAACACCTAAAACTTGTAGAGTATATAGGAATGTTAGGTTCACTCACCATCTCTCTTAATATCCTATTATATTTCTTATGGTTTTGTGTTTCTGTTTTTCACTCTGTGTTTTCTCATGTTAATCCAGTTAGTTTTTCTATTTTGTGTTAACCTATAGTGTCATTAGACTCATCTCTGGTTTCTTATTTTTAGCCACTGACTACATAGGTTCATTTTACTTGGTTCTTTTTAGTTATATATAACTCACCAATATTTATTGGATTTTTGTTATTTTCTATCAAGATGCATCATCTCTATGACAAATATTCTTTTATAAAATATTATACAAGTTTCCTGGTTGTTTAAATATTATTCCTCCTCTTTGTTTCAATGTAAATTTTACTTGTGTACTCCCAGGAAAAAATGGCAAACATGCTGAGATTTTCAGAGTGTCACCTACTACCTTTGAATGCCCAAAGGTCTTCACAGAAAAATAGCTGAATATAGTTTTATTTTTCTCTGAACTTGACTCCTAAGTCTTGCTTCCCTGGGAGCTGTATTCACACTTTCCTAATGTCATTCCTGGGATGTTAGTAGATTTACACTTCATTTAAGAGAGAAGTGTGTCTCAGAAGCAGAAGCAGAATCCTTGAATAGTAGATAGGAAGTTACTGATCATGGGCTACAGATTTCAGATGCCATCACTGGATTATTGTCAAGTTTAATTCAGTTTCCTGCTCTCTACTCCCATCTGTAGGAAACCAGACCCAGCTGCTGCCCCAGTGCAATGACTCCTGGTCTAACACAGCAGGCTCTGCAGCCTCAGAGGGCCACACTACCAACTGCTCAGGTGAGCAAGGCCCCCAGCACCAGAACCTTCCCATTCCCTGTGTGAATGCCCACTGACATGACCCTGTCTCTCCTCAGACAGCAGACAGCTCCGCCTGGTGGATGGGGGCAGTCGCTGCGCAGGGAGAGTGGAGATCCTGCAGCAGGGCTCCTGGGGCTCCATCTGTGATGACAGCTGGGACCTGAGTGATGCCCACGTGGTGTGCAGACAGCTGGGCTGTGGAGTGGCCCTGGAGGCCACCATCTCTGCTCACTTTGGAGAGGGATCAGGGCCCATCTGGCTGGATGAGCTGAACTGCACAGGAGAGGAGGCCCATGTGTGGCTGTGCCCTTCCCAGGGCTGGGGGCAGCACAACTGCAGTCACAAGAAGGATGCTGGGGTCATCTGCTCAGGTCTGTGATACATTCTGTGCACAGGCTGGAAGGGCCTGCAGGATGGAGTCTCAGCTCCAGGGCTGGTATTGGGTAGTTGCTGACAGGGCAAAGGTGAGGTGGTGCCTCTCACAATTCCTGTCCCTTCAGCAGAGGAGAAAATTAGGTGCTTCCATTTCCTGCTGCAGCAGCTCCTTCCATCTCAGCACTGTCCGCTGACACAGTCATTCTCTACAGTGTCCATTTAAAGCAGTCATCACTCTTCTGTTACCTGCCAGTGCAGCAATATCCTGACCCACTGAATTAGTCTTCTATTTCTTCTGTAACAAGTTACCATAGACTGAAGGTCTTAAAATAATACAAATTTATCACCTTACAGTGTGTAGGTTAGAAGATTGACCTGGACCTGTGTGGGCTATAAATAAGGTGTCAGCAGGCTGCAACAGCTGGAGCTCTGGGAAGACTCTTTTTCTTACCTTTTTCCACTTTTGTAATTTACCTGAATTCCTTGTATGACCCCTTCCTTCCTCAACCCAAATTCTTTCAACCTTCTTGTCATTCTATGTTCACATCACACTCTGGTGAGGGCCAGAATGGCTTATCTGTTTGTGAGGATGCAGGTATAAAGATGTCATTACATTGGGGAAATCCTATCCAGGATGATCCAGTATAATCTCATAATGAAAGCATATTTTTGTTAATTTTTGCTTTTATTTTTGTTTGTTATTTTGGTACTGGGCTTGAGTCAGGGGACTCAACCACTGGAGCACAACCATGATACTTTTGTGTGGTGAGCCGTTTCTGTGAACTGTGGCCGCCATTACAAGATGGCGCTGGTTTCCCCTGTAGTCTGTGACAAACAACTCCTTATCAGAATGAGTTGGCACGCTGTGACTTGGCACCCTATGAGAAAAGTCCACGTGGCAGTTGTGCATTGGGGCTTTATCTGCTTTATTAAGGCTGGGGCACACGGGAGTAGTAGTAGTGGCAGTAGGAGTAGCAGTAGTAGTAGTGGCAGTAGGAG